CGTGTCTGTGTGTGCGCTGTGCGTCTGTATCGATTTTTCATCTCGAGACCCACAAAAGCTACAGGGCTGAAATTTTGGGGGATTAATCTACATGCACGTGCGGGCCCCTATCTGCAGAATGGGCGGTCTTTCCTCGTGGTACCCACGTAAGACCCCGCCAAAGTCTTTTACGGGTAAGCTGCTAACTCGCGAACCAGAAAAGCTAGAACGCTGAAATTTTATGGGAATCTTCCCCGTCCAGGCAGGTGCTAATGAGCTCAAATCCAACCCCCGGATAAGCGTGTTACCCGCGTACGGTTCCGCCAAAACTTTTCCCGCGTAATTTCATAACTCGGGGATCTGAGATGCTAGAAAGCTGAAATTCTAAGGGGACGTTCCCCGCCCAAGTTGGTGCTAATGAGCTCAAATCCAACCTCCGAATAAGCAGGGTACCCGCGTACGAGCCCGCCAAAATTTTTCCCGCGTAATTTCATAACTCGGGGATCTGAGATGCTAGAAAGCTGAAATTCTAAGGGAATGTTCCCCGTCCAAGTAGGTGCTAATGAGCTCAAACCCAACCCCCAGATATGCGTGGTACCCGCGTACAGGCCCGCCAAAATTTTTCCCGCCTAAATCCATAACTCGGGGCTCTGAGATGCTAGAAAGCTGAAACCTTAAGGGAATGTTCCCCGTCCAAGTAAGTCTCAACGAGCTCGAACCCAGACATCGGGCACGCGTCGTACCCGAGTGCGGGCCCATGAAAGTTTTTTCCAGTAAGTTGCTAATTCAGGAGCCAGGAAAACCAGAAAGCTGAAACTTTAAGAGGGTGTTTCCTGTCAGTTCTGGCATCCAGTCTTAATTTCTTTAGCTTGAAGCATTTGCCGAAAAAACCGATGCCGGCAGCGACAAAAATTGCGGGGAGCCCTGCAAAAAACGCATTTTCGCACGGGCAGCCCGTGCGTTGGCCAATTTTTTTTTTTTTTTTGATGCGCTATGGTTTAAGATTTAGGATGTTTCACGACCCACGAAAAGAACGATAGCGAAACATTTTAGAATCAACCAGAACTACAGTTCAGTGACAGAACGAGACTGCGATAGGAACTTCTCCAAGCAGTTGCAGAAAATCTTCAAAGAATCGTAATTTTACGAAACCTTTCTGCTATTTTCTGGGCTTTTAATCGATATCAAAAAAGGCCTAGATTTGAGCTTCAAAAGCTGGGTGTTGTGTTTTGGTCTCCTGTCACTGATATAATTCCTCTCTTGACACAAAGGTCGGACTCAGTGCAAAATCAGGCCTTAAAACTGTTCCATTTGTTGGAACTCTTCTGCTACGGATAATTTATGCTTAACCGACAGCGACTGTATGTTCCTTACATAAATGTTCGTTTCCAGTCATTAAAGTAAAAGTTGTACATCAGCCCCATAACTTTAAACGTGCAAAAATTGGTCTGAAGCTGCGAACTAAGCAATCACAAGACCCTCGTTTGGCTACACCCTGTATTTGGCTGCAGTCAGTTCCACCGCAGACATCAAATCCATGTTTTGGTCAGTGCCCATGGCATGCGGACCACTAAAAGACAAGCAAACATGTTAATACTCTGAAGCTTTTTTTTCGCCGCTGTCTGGAAGATTGAAAACAAGAGCGTGCACTTGCTGCACAGAAGCAACTTCGTTACGAACAGCCAGACTGGTATGCCAAAAAACCATCTAGGCACAGGAATTTCACATCGTGGACAAAGAATGAATGCACCTCCCCGACGGGAACTGTGGACTGATTGCTCTTCAGATAATGTGGACAAAAAAAGCGGGTTACCCGAACTAAACTTGTGGCTAGAAGAATGCTCGAACCTTTTAAGCCTTTCAAGACAGAGCTGCCCAGGTAAAAAGCGTCCTCAAGTTGATTTAAAACTTTCATACTCTTCGGTGGGCCACGAAAGAAACATTCAAGTTTGGTTCGTATCAGTCAAACTGAGCAGCGCCAGCGCATAGGTCATGCAACTGTGATGTTTCAAATTACACATTAGTTCGTTATCAAGTGTCATATGTATCTGTACAGAATAGCCGACCCTGATGACCTTTGTATGAGCCCAACTGGCCCCCAAAAAACAAGTTTTCAGTCATTTCGGATCTTTTTTGCACACCATTCTACTTACCAATAAGCAAAAATTAGGATTTGCGTCCAGCCAGTGTGAAACAAGATAAACCCCTCTTGCGAACCAGTGCAGGTTGCAGTGAATTTATACAGAAATCCAAACCGAAACAAACATATGGTATCATTGTGACACACCCCTGGTACATCACACAGCTTCAGTGTATTATACATCATTGAGTAATTACATCATACATCTCGAGTATATCATCATATATGAAATTCCGAACGTCAGTGAAGCAACGTCAAAGCACACCAGTCATCCCGGCTATAAAATAAATGAAACCCCGAACATCAGTGAAGCAC